AAACCCCCTTCAACACTCACTTAGAACACTTTCTATCACTTTGTTCTCTGCATTCTGCTGCAACCACATTGGAGCAGCAGGAGTGCGGTTTCAGGGTGAAAGCTGCAGATCCTGTGGTTTTGAGTGGGTGTGGGTTCTGTAGTTTTTCTGGGGGGGAAAGAAGTGAAAAGCAAGATAATTCATTTCAGTTCATATTAAAAGTGAACTGATTTTGAACTTCAGGTAGCAATTTTCTGTTAATGAGGTACAGGAACTTAATGGCACTAATGAACAAACAGCATGCTCTTAATTTGCAATGTTACTGTGCTATTGCCAAAAAGCAAAGTGTAGCATGGTAACAGCCCTGATGTAAATATATGCTCCCGTTTGTTGCCTGTACAAAAAGCACTTCAAATCTCAGCCAGACACATTGACAGTCTGGTATAAAACCGTGACAAGATTCACTCCAGGAACTGCTGGCAGTGTTATTGTGGTCCAAACACAATGCACGAAAAGAATTCATGACAATGCTTCCAGGCAACACTGGCATCTGTCCATCATTCTCAACCCCATGATATGCACAAACACATCACAACACAAATCTTACTGCCTCGGCTGACTGTTCCTCTCTGCAGCTTACAGAGTTGTCCTGCAGCAGCAAATTGTATCTTACTGGTGCCCAAAGTCAATCACATTGAAGCTGCTCCAGTATCAGTGTTAAACAAAACTTCAGGCATCAGGAACTCAACTTCAGTTTTGAATTACAAAAGAAACAAGACAAGTCTAGTTATTGTGTGTCAGGCCAACCTAAATAGACATCATTGGTTATTAAAGCAAAACTGGGAGGGAGGAGGCCTAGCACAATATTTCCTCAAAAATAGTAGTGTTGAAATAGTCCACGCTGCAAAGTATTATGAGTGATCACACCAAATATCAATTGTGAGTAGACAAATCTACTACTGTACTAATTCTGCACTTACATATTTACCTAAACTATAATTAAAAAAAACACCAAATGCATAACCACTCATGACCTCCCCCACCCGTTGGAATGGCCTAATTATACACACTTAGAACAACACAACTTGCATTTATATAACACCCTTTACATGGGACATTTTGGAGTGCTTTACAGTGGCAGAGTTGGATGCCAAGCAAGGGAGTAGGGGGAGATGGCCACAGGCATGGTTGAAGAGATAGGTTTTAAGGTGGGATTTAGAGATAGATAAACAGATAAAGGGGCAAGGTATATATGCAAGAGTGAGGAACTTGAAATCAACCCAAACACATTGGAAATCTATGTATGCATAAAGTATATGCCCCTCCCCTGATAAATGCTTCATCTGGAAATCAGTACAGAATCGGAGAATTTCTCCACAAACAATTACTTGCAAAATCAGCTTTCTACAAATTACCAGCCAGATTCACATGAATTGCACCAGTGTGCACTTTACTTTCCACATGGAATTTTTAAAATATTTTTCTTTCCACAAATACTATATAGTAATCCTTGCATTTGATAAAGAAACTTATCACGCCGTTGAAACGTCTCAAAGCGTTTATTATTATTGTTAATAATAATCCTTGCATTTGATATGGCGTCTTATCACGTCTGCGTGACTTCTCAAAGCCCTTCACAGAATATTGTAGGTGAATTGACTGTACATTCTGTGGGAGAAACAAGGCAGCCAATTGTGCACAGCAGTGCCCCACAAAGTCGTGGATTGAAGTGACCAATTTATTATTTTTTTGAAAGGATTATTATCCCAGTAAAGCGATCCGCCAATTGACTAACAACTGAGCTCCTACTTACTGCTAGGTAAACAGAGGTGTGTGGAGTAAGAAACTTGCCCAACATTTCGTCCCACCCAGGAATCAAAACTGGGTCCTCTCGCTTGCGAAGCGAGTGCTCTAATCTGTATGCTACAGCAGTCCAAATAACCCCTTTTACAAACGTAATATACTCCCCCCCCCCCCCCCCAAAGTCCTTTAAACACAGTATGTGGCTAGCGTAGCACAGTGTTTACAAACATTTAAAATGTCATGAACTCTTTTCCCTCAGGCTCTTACTTTCTCTGGTACTTAAGGCAACAGTGTATCTAAAGGAATGCATTTCAACTAACCCAATCACCGCTGTAAATGTCACAGATTAATAGCAAATTACAAGTTATTTATCAGCAGATTTCAAAAGCGCAAACATCATTGATCTTAATTTCCGGAAAAGTCAAAATTTGACAGATCCAAGATTGTGCCTCAATGATCCGACCCGATATCATTTTCTGATTATTGAATGACTCCCAACAAATAAATTTGTTCAAATGCACGTGCAAATGGGAAAACAAGATCGAACAAAAGGCTTAGTTTGCAAACAAAGAGCATTTTAGTCACTGATTTGCCTTTTTAGTCACCTGCTGGGACAGGAACAGTCAAAAGAGCTATAAAATGTTACAAGTACAGTGTCCCTTTTAAAAGTTGTCCTTGGCAATTTTACAGCTCAATAGGTCCCAACAGATCGACAGGCAAAGGAAAAAAGGAGGGAGTAATCTTTACTCTAATCCTTAAAGATCTCCACATTGTACAATTTAAACTTCAGATGTAAACGCTGAGAGTGCGGAAAGCTCTGACAGGTTTAGAGCTTAACAGAGAATTGAAATGTCCTTTATCTCCGATGGGAGAACCACTGCTTTATCGTAAAAGTTCACAGTAAATGAAACACCGACTACAACAACAACAACAACAACAAGATTACATTTGTATCTCTCTCTCGGTGTGGCTGTCTGTCTCTCTCTCTCTGACTTTTTCTCTCTCTCTGATTTTTTTCTCTCTCTCTGATTTTTTCTCTCTGACTTTCTCTCTCTCTCTGTGTCTATTTCTCTCTCTCTCTCTCTATCTCTCTCTCTGACTTTCTCTCTCCCTCTCTGTGGCTATTTCTCTCTCCCTGGCTCTTCTTCCCCCTCCTTCCCCCCCCCCTCTCTCTCTCTATGTGGCTGTTTCTCACACTCCCCCCCTCTCTCTAGGAGACAGTACCCCCCCCCCCCACACACACACACACACTCTGGGGTGGCTGCAGTGCTGTCAGAGTGGGGACTGACTGTGTGGATGAAACGGTGGCACATTCCTCTCCTCCTGGAGACGGGATCTCCAAAGCGAGTAGCAGCCCAGCCCGGGGGGGGGGGGGGGGGGGGGGCTTCTAGACAGGAATGCACCACTCTTATCCCCCTCTCACACCCCTCCTTCTTCCCCACTCAGTCCCGGGGGGGGGGGGGGGGGGCAGGTGCTGGCAGGTCTGGTGCGGCCCCTGGCAGCTGGTCAGTGTGCAGAGCTGTACCCCCTCCACACTCTCTCTCTCTCTCTGTACCCCCTCCACACTCTCTCTCTCTCTGTACCCCCTCCACACACACTCTCTCTCTGTACCCCCTCCACACTCTCTCTCTCTCTGTACCCCCTCCACACTCTCTCTCTCTCTCTGTACCCCCTCCACACTCTCTCTCTCTCTGTACCCCCTCCACACACACTCTCTCTCTGTACCCCCTCCACACTCTCTCTCTCTCTGTACCCCCCTCCACACACTCTCTCTGTACCCCCCTCCACACACTCTCTCTCTCTCTCTCTCTGTACCCCCTCCACACACTCTCTCTCTGTACCCCCTCCACACACTCTCTCTCTGTACCCCCTCCACACACTCTCTCTCTGTACCCCCTCCACACACTCTCTCTCTGTACCCCCCTCCACACACTCTCTCTCTGTATCCCCCTCCACACACTCTCTCTCTGTGCCCCCCCCACTCTCTCTCTCTGTGCCCCCCACTCTCTCTCTGCCCCACTCTCTCTCTCTGCCCCACTCTCTCTCTCTCAGTCCCCCCACTCTCTATCTCTCTCTCTCTCTGCCCCACTCTCTCTCTCTCTCTCTCTCTGTGCCCCCCAACTCTCTCTCTCTCTCTCTCTCTCTGTGCCCCCCCACTCTCTCTCTCTGTGCCCCCCCACTCTCTCTCTCTGTGCCCCCCACTCCTCTCTCTCTGTGCCCCCCACTCTCTCTCTCTGTGCCCCCCACTCTCTCTCTCTGTGCCCCCCACTCTCTCTCTCTGTGCCCCCCACTCTCTCTCTCTGTGTCTCGCACTCTCTCTCTCTGTGTCTCGCACTCTCTCTCTCTGTGTCTCCCACTCTCTCTCTCTCTGTGCCCCCCCACTCTCTCTCTCTGTGCCCCCCACTCTCTCTCTCTGTGCCCCCCACTCTCTCTCTCTGTGCCCCCCCACTCTCTCTCTCTGTGCCCCCCACTCTCTCTCTCTGTGCCCCCCCACTCTCTCTCTCTGTGCCCCCCCACTCTCTCTCTCTGTGCCCCCCCACTCTCTCTCTCTCTGTGCCCCCCACTCTCTCTCTCTCTGTGCCCCCCACTCTCTCTCTCTGTGCCCCCCACTCTCTCTCTCTGTGCCCCTCTCCCTCTGTGCCCCCCACTCTCTCTCTCTGTGCCCCCCCTCTCTCTCTCTCTGTGCCCCCCCCTCTCTCTCCCTCTGTGCCCCCCCCACTCTCTCCCTCTGTGCCCCCCCACTCTCTCTCTCTGTGCCCCCCCCACTCTCTCTCTGTGCCCCCCCCACTCTCTCTCTGTGCCCCCCACTCTCTCTCTCTGTGCCCCCCCACTCTCTCTCTCTGTGCCCCCCCACTCTCTCTCTGTGCCCCCCACTCTCTCTCTCTGTGCCCCCCACTCTCTCTCCTGTGCCCCCCACTCTCTCCTCTGTGCCCCCCACTCTCTCTCTGTGCCCCCCCCACTCTCTCTCTGTGCCCCCCCCCACTCTCTCTCTGTGCCCCCCCCACTCTCTCTCTGTGCCCCCCACTCTCTCTCTCTGTGCCCCCCCACTCTCTCTCTGTGCCCCCCCACTCTCTCTCTCTGTGCCCCCCCACTCTCTCTCTGTGCCCCCCCCCCTCTCTCTCTCTGTGCCCCCCCACTCTCTCTCTCTCTCTCTGTGCCCCCCCACTCTCTCTCTCTCTGTGTGCCCCCCCACTCTCTCCCTGTGTGCTCAGACCTACCTGGGTGACCAGAGGGATGAGGGTCTGCTCCACTGATCTGGTTTTGATCTCCAGTCCGGAGTCGCTGGTGCAGTGTGAAGAAGCCATGTCGCGGTGCGGTGCCCGGTCCGGGGTGCGCGGTGCGGTGCGGGGCTGGTGTGGTGCGGGTCCCTCCGCTCCTCTCCTCTCCTCTCTCTGCCGGAGACTGGCAGTGGCTGAGAGGCGGGAGGGGAGTCAGGAGCCGCTTCTCTTTCCGGCTGTAGGAGGGGCTCTGGCGCCCTGGAGACGAGGTGCTTTGCAGGAGAGGGTTTGCGGGAGAGGGCGGGAGGGGAGGGGAGGGGAGAGGAGGGGTGTGAAGCACGTGCACTGCTCAGGTCCGGGGCTCCTACTACTGCCTCCGCCACGTTATGTACGTTTTGCTTTTCTATTTTTTTTAAAAAAAACAAAAAGGTCGATTCACTTCCCATTTCTTCCACCGCTGCAAATAGCCCGAGTTCGGCCATCAGAGGACCGACTGCGGTCCTGAGGAACTTGGCATCGCGCGTGTGGGTGTGTGAGAGAGAGAGAGAGAGTACCTGAAGTTAGTTATCTCATCACTTATCTTATATTGCCATCAACACCTCCATTATTGTTGTCTGGAGTCCTGTAGCTCAGTGGTTAGAGCACTCGCTTTGCAAGCGAGAGACCTGAGTTCAATTCCAGGCAGAGGGCGAAACCTTGGGCAAGTTTCCTTACTCCACACAGAGCCTAATAATAATCCCTCCAAAACAAAAACAATAATAAATTGGTCATTTTCAATCTACGACTGTTTGTGGGACATTGCTGTGCGCAATTGGCTGCCGCGTTCGCCCACAAATATACAGTCAATTCACTTTACAGTGTGTTCTGTGAAGCGCTTTGGGACGTTCCTCCCGATGTGAAAAGCGCTGTATCAAATGCAAGGATTATTATTGTGAAAACAAGGATGGTAGAAGGCGAACTGGATGGACCTTGGTTTTGCACTTTGAAGGCGTCTCAAAAGGTGAAAAGGTATTATATCAAATGCAAGGATTATTTTTTTTCATCTAGGAATTCCTGTGTGCCTTTCACCACGGTCGTTCAGTTAGCTGCACATTCACTTCTCAGGTCAATGCACCAACTGAGACACAATTTCGACATTGTGAGACGAGGGAGTTTCTGCCGATGCCCTGACCACAATCTCGCAGATGCAATTGAGCATTTCATTTCAGGGATGTTGGGGGCGTGGGGGGCCATTGGTGTGTGCATATGTGTGCAAATTTGCTGTCTTAACTGCAAAATACACAGTCACTGCACTTTACAGAATTCTTGTGAAGTGCTTTGAGATGCCCTCCTGTCATGAAAAGCGCAATGTCAAATTTTGTCAGACTGTCCTTATTCTTTGCAATAAGGAAAATGACGAAATGCAGAAGTAGGCTTGTTGCCCCTGTCCCTACTAGAATTAAGTAGAAAGATATTTTTTTTCTTATTGACCAAAGTCGAATAGGTCACAATTATTAAAAAGGAAGAACTGCAAATGTTGGAAATGTGAAATTTATAAAATAGAGATTTATTAGAAATGCCCAGTAGGTCAATACAACAACAACAAGATTCCATTTATAGAGCGCCTTTCACGTCGGGAGGACATCCCAAGGCGCTGCACAGTTGGGTCAGGACCCGAGCAGGGGGGAAATGGTCAGGGTGAGGGGAGGGAAGGGAGGGAGCGAGGAAGGGGTAGAGAGTCGAGAGGGGAGCTGAAGGCACGGTCAAAGAGAAAGGTCTTGTGACCGGCATCAATAAGCATCAAGAAGAGAAAGATAACCTGGTGTTCCAGTGGGACAAGACACCAGCACTTAAGTAATATATATTTGTAAACCTTTTTTTNGGTCACCCATGCAGAAACCCATTACTCTGCATAAGAGCATCCAAACCAGACTGAGAGTTCCACGTATGTGGAATTTCCATGTTTCTGGAATGGAATGGTTTCTGGAATGCACTCTCTGAACTGGAGGAATGCACCCCGCTTACCTAAATCCAGAGAGTATTAGGTACAGGTTAGGCTTTGATGCTTGGGAGCATCAAAATGTAGCTAACTCTGAACTGTTTAACATACATAGATATCAGTAAAGTATGTGTTATTTATAAGAAACTTATAAATAATTGAATATCTACAAGGCAAAAAAGAGCAGATGGATACACTGTAGGATACAAGCAAATGGAAAAGGAAATATTGTAAACTGCAACAGAACCTGAGGCCAGGAGAATAGAAAAGGAATGAGACACGAGTCTGAAAATTATCTGCAGCGCGGAAAATGCTTGTGAACCTTATAGTAGGATTACTGTCAATGTGGTACTGTATAAGGAGTTCTCATCATTGGATTAGAATCAATAGGTCAAGTCTGATAAATCTACTGAAATTCTTTTAAGTATCTAGACAAGTGGATTAGGAGTATCCAGTAAATAGAATTTACTGGTACTTTCAGAAGCCACTTAATGAAGGTCCCTCTATGAGACTTTAAAAAGCTCATGGAATTAATGGTGAATTAGATAGTTGGAATGAAAAGCGCTGTTGGAATAAGTAGAAGGTGATGAGGAATAGAAAAAGCTCCATCTAGAGGGCAGTGAGCAGTGGCATTCTGGATCCTCAGGTTCAACATTATTTGTAATGCTTTGGAGGAGACAATTTTTTGCAATATTGTAATAAGTTGTATTAACCTGGAACTTGCCAAATGAAAAACATCTCAAGTTATGTTTGCTAATGATACCAAGCTGTCTGGCCAGCCAGAAGCAGAACACAACAATATCATGACCAATTCATAGGGACCTTTAAAGTTTATTTTTATTCACAAAACAACAACAACAAAATTACATTTGTAAAGCGCCTTTCACGTCGGGAAGACATCCCAAGGCACTGAAATAAAAATCTAGTTTTTTTTAGGTCTCCCTTTATGTCATGAAACATGAGAAACAACAACAACAACAACAACAAGATTCCACTTATAGAGCGCCTTTCACGTCAGGAGGACGTCCCAAGGCGCTGCACAGTTGGGTCATGACCCGAGCAGGGGGGAAATGGTCAGGGTGAGGGGAGGGAAGGGAGGGAGAGAGGAGGGGGGAAATGGTCAGGGTGAGGGGAGGGAAGGGAGGGAGCGAGGAGGAGGAAGAGAGTCGAGAGGGGAGCTGAAGGCACGGTCAAAGAGAAAGGTTTTGAGACCGGCCTTGAAGGAGGAAAGGGAGGAAGCAAGGCGAAGGCACTGGGGGATGGAGTTCCCATCGGGCTGAAGGCCCGACCACCGATAGTAGGGCGGTTGGGGCGGGGGACGTGGAGCAGACCGGAGCCAGAGGAACGGAGGGTACGGGCAGGTAGGTAGGGGGAGAGTAGGTTGGAGAGGTAGGAGGGAGCAAGGCCGTGAAAATCGGAGGGAAGAAATGAACACAAAAGAAAGGATACATTTGATACCATCCCCTTAACACACACACACACAATTGTGGACCCCTAAATAAAATCATGAATTTGTGTTTTAAAAAATAATTTCAGGTGATTTTTTGTTACCAATTGATTTTCATGGAAAAAATCAAGTACTTATCAGGAAAAAAAAGATGTAAAATTAATTTAATTGTCCTTGCTAATTAAAGAGGTGAGTCAAGGAGTGGCGGATAAATCTGGCATGTACAGGGCAATCCATTTTCAAACAGTAAACAGCAAATGGCTGAGTGTACTTTACGCATATTAAAGGAAAATTATTTGGTGTTTACTCAGAAAACACCACCCTCCTCATTCAGATGTCTAAGTGGCATGCTGTCCTTCAGGTGACCCCTTAAAGTCCCATTAATGAGTCAAGGAGGCTAGTGAATCATCAATAGTGCCCTGGAATACTATGGAATACTATACTGGCTGGCTTGGGTTTCAGTTTACCAATTACATGAGATGAATAAACCGTCTCACCCCCCCCCCCCCCCCCCAAGGAGGACAGAAGGACTGCAATAAATGTTGTATAAAATGGAAACAAATAATTTAACGGTGTATATGAACAGGGTTTTAGTCATTTCAAAAATAATTTTAGCCATTTGATTAAATTTTATAGTAAATTAATGGGATTCCATACAGGGGATTTTTGTAGATGAACTAGCATAATATTATGGATTTTATTCACAAAGGAGATACGCAGTGGCCTGAACTTCTAAGAGAATAAAGCCGCTATTGAAAAATACCAAATGACCAAGTAACAAATGCCAAGAAAGTCAAAGATCACCAACTGTAAAAGAAACAAGAATGATCCAATTTACAATTTGTGTGGCAGAAATTAAGTAGCATATATTTTCATTGAAAAGGGACTAGTTTGATTGAAACTTTTGGCAAAGCCTCTACACTGCACTTCTGAAAGTGCTCCATGATTAATCTAGCCCACATATTTTATCAGGGTATGCAGCAGAAGGTGTGCAAATTGTAGCCATTAATAGAAAATCATAAGTTATTATTACTTGCCCTTTTATGGAAACCCAGTGGAAAAATCACTGGGTATGCAAACATCAAGATTAGCCTCTTTGAGAACTTGAGTTAAGTAGGGTCCTGGAATGGTGCAAGACCAGGACATATAGATTAAGATACCATTCACCCAAACACAATAGCAACATACCTGCAAGAGATGAATGGAGCAGAATTTTAAATTTGTCTTTACTTTATAACTTGACCCTGAATAGACAGATTCTCTGGCTTTTTCCCACTTCTTCATCAATGGTTCAATGCATACGTGGTTCCCAGGGATCATCTCATAGCCTGAGTATTTTTTGAGTATGGATTAAAAATCTTATATAAATGTGTGACAGCAATTTTGTGTGTGGGAGGAGGGTGTTGACCAGCGAAGAGCTACTTCAGATTAGTAGGGGTCCTGGGTATGATATATTGTGTCTCTGTCACAGAAGCGATACAATATAATTATCTAATGATCCTTGGATTTGATATCACATCTATAATGAATGAAATATCTCACAGGTGATTGTTCTTAAATGTAATGTATTTAAAATCAACCACAACAGTCAATTTGTGTAACAGTCAATAAGCGCTCTGAGACGCCGTCCGGCGTGGAGGGTGCTATATAAATCCAAGTTGTTGTTGTTGTTGTGTGCGTCATAATATCCCACAAACAGT